GGCAGGGAGTCTCCTGTGCCCAGGGAATCTCCTCTGCCCAGGGAATCTCCTGTGCCCAGGGAATCTCCTCCAGCTCTGCAGCCACAGGCAGCACAAACCCTTCCTGGACCCTTGTGCTGTCAATGCAGCAGAGCCCATGAGGTGCCCGTGGTTCCCCTGTGAGCACCAGACACCAGGGACCCAGCCTGTCCTCTGGACCCCCTTGCAAACTGCCAGGAAGGTGTTTGTGTGGGAGGAGGAAGGAAGCAGTCAGGAGGGGGGGTGCAGTGGGAGGTGTTTCATGTCAGCAAACAGCCTGTCTCCATGTCTGTCATTCCTTCTTTTTAGGGTGATCCTGGCCAGCTGGGAGTCCCCGGAGAGCAAGGCCTCATTGGCCAAAGAGTGAGTCCAGTCACCTGCTGGTAGAGCTTCTGTGCCTTCTCAGTTCCCTGGAGTCTCTGTTCCCTGGTCCCCAGGGCAGACAGACCCTGCTCTGGGTCCCCCCATAGCCCTTACGGCCCCTGCTCCTTCCGTGGGTGCTGGAAACACCATCCTGGCAGGGCCTGGAGCTGAGCAGCCTGTGCCAGCCCTGCAGTGCTGCTTGTCCAGGTGCTGTGACAACCCTGCTGTGACAGGGGCTGTGTGGGGACAGCCCTGGTGCAGCAGGGGCAGGGAGGCACTGGAGCAGAAGGTGGGAATTAAGCAGGGAAGCATCAACCATACTAGGGCCATGTGGGAGGGAGCCCAGGAGAGGCTGAATGGAAGGATTGAAGGCAGAAGTGGCTCTTGTCCCTTCTCAGGGCCACAGTCACTTGTTGGAGCAGGATGGGGAAGCCCCAGGCTCAGTGAGTTCAGCCCCCTGTTCAGCACAGGGAAGGAAATCTTCCCACGGGGTCTGTGGAGGGAACACTCTGGCTGGGACCAAAGCAAGAGGCTGAGCTCCTGCTCTGGCTCCAGGAAGAGCCTGTTCAGCACGATGGGATGAGATGGGGCCTGTGTCAGAGTGTGGGGCTGGGCTCCTGTCCCTGCAGCCTGACCTGCTGCTGGGGGTTCAGCTGCCAAAGCACAGGGGCAGAAACACATTTGGGCACAGACTTATGTTGCTTGTTTTTTGTCTTGCAGGGAGAATCAGGGCTGGAAGGGGACAGTGGGCCACCCGGGCCAGATGGTGTCAAGGTAAACCTCCCTCTCATGGCACATTTCAGCTCTCACACACATCTCTGGGCACTCAGGCCCCCGTGGTTCCCAGGGGCGGGTTGAGGCCAAGGGGTTATTGGGTCATCTGGGCAAGAAGCCTCTGCCCTCCTCCCCCCAAGCACACATAACAAACTCCTCCTGTTTCACTCCTCTACCCACATTTTTGGCATCTGATCAGATCTCCAAAAAGGTCAATTTCTTCAAAATCTAGTTTCCAACAGTTTGTCTGTTTTATTTGAGTCGTTACAGATTGAATTTCCAGCTAATCAGGAATTCCTGGGCCTGGCAGGGGAAATCAAGCATTGTCCATCACTCTCCCCTGTGCCACTGACCAGAACATTGTTAGCAAGTCAAGAAACCAGATCCCCTTGCTCTTTGCAAAGCCCCAGGTGCTCGCTCAGGGCTTGCACTGTGCTCTTTGTCTAGCTGCTGTGGGTTTGCTACCTTGCCTTTGGAACAAGACCTTTCTTTCTGTCCCTGCACAGCTGCCCTTTCCAAGCAGGCCAGCAACTTCATTCCATGGAAAGAACAAACAGCCAGTCCCACAACAATGCAGTTTATTGCTTCATGCTAGTTAAACTATTTGCCATGTGTCTCTACTTCTGCTATCTCTGAATGCTGAACCAAAAGACTCTTCCTTAAAGACAGTCAGGCCTTCTGGATTCTATTGCCACCACTGGCTGTGAGCTCTTGAACCAAACCAGATCTTTCCAAGTTAAATATGTCTCTGGACAGTAGAAGAGCCACTGCTCAGTGCAGGGGCATTTGTTTAACCTCAAGAGATGTTGCTGTGCTTTCACCAATGCAGCTGGAAGTGGAGAATGACTCTGCCAAGGCTGGCTGGTTGCACAAGTGTAGGTGCTGCTGTCAGTACAGAACTACCCTTTTGGATTGGCTCTGAAATGTTGTGCCATCAGGTGTAAGAAGGGTGATGTGACACGATACCCACTGCTCCAGTCACAGGTCCTTCACAGGGGAAGATCACACTGCTCCACTGAGGGTTTATTCCAGTCTGGGGCTGATTCTCACTAGGCAGCAAATGCCAAGCAGCCACTCATTAAAATCTTTCAGCATCCCAAGCTCAGGGCTTCTGGGTGAGGCCAGGGAGACTTCCAGATCTTGTCTCATTCACGTGGGAGGTTCAGGCCTTATTGCAGAAGAAGCAATGGGGTTCAGATTACCCTGTGTAATGGGAGAGTTCCTCTCCTCCAGCCAAGAGACTTTAAAAAAAACCCAACAACCTGGTTTTGCTCATTTTTTTAAATGTCAAGTGTATTATGACTCATCCTCATTCATCCTTTTGCTTGCAGACTCTCTTCCTCTCAGGCTCCTGAAATATTAATTACGTGGTGGGTTTTTTTCCTTGCAAGAGCCACATACAGTGACCCATGTGTTGTGTGGGTATGAAAAGCTCCCACCCTCCTCTCTTCCACAGGGAGATAAAGGAGACCAAGGCCTGGAAGGAGAGAAAGGAGAAAAAGGCAATGAAGGACTGAAGGGAAAAGAAGGACCTCCTGGATATCCCGGCATCACAGGTGTCCGAGTGAGTCTGCGAAACCAGCCCCCTCACAACAAACACAACTCAGTTGGCAGTCTCATGTCTGAGAGGCTGGATTTCATGTAAACCTTAGCAAGAAATAGATAGGCTGTTGTTGGGTTTTTTCCCTTTTTTTTTTTTCCCCAACAAGGGCAGTAATGAGTGTGGACATTAATACCATTGCAACAGGGCACGTCGTGTTGCAGCAAAACACCTGGGGGCAGATGGAGAGGGAGATGCAGGCAGTGAACCAGGACACTCTGCTTAGGGCAGGAGGTTGTCCAAGATGTGACTCGTTCCAAGTGTTGTTGTAAAGTTTGTTATTGTTGAAAACAAAGCAACAAAGAAACCTAGGGGATTTTTTGGTCTTTTAATCAGGATACAGGCTTGAGAGGTGGACTAGCCTGGTCTGCTCTGTGCTTTGGGACACTGTGTGTCTGCATCTGTGAAATGGTCCATCTCACAGGGTATCAGAGAGGGATGCACAGAGGACTGTGGGGAGCTGAGTTTTCCCTGGCTGCCACAGCTGGTCCTGGCCTGGTGTTTGGGAATGGCAAGCTCTTGCCCTGTCTCACTTCTGTTTGGTGATTAGTTACTGGCTGACTCTTGGTTTTCCCTTCTAAGCTTTCACTCTTAAATATAGAGGAAATTAGCAGGAAATTATTCCTGAATCCTCAGTGAATATCCTAGGCCTGGAGCACAAGTCTTGCTGTTTGTGCAGCCTGACAACATGTCACCTGCCAGCCCATGTGTCTCAGGGGGGCATGTGAGCAGCCCCCATGGCAGGAGGAACCAGCAGCCCAAGTTTGATGGCAGGTCTGAAACTCTTGCCTGGGGTGGGTGGGAGGCAGCAGGTACCTCTGAGCACTGGGTGGGTGCTCCATGTTGCAGCATCTTGGTTTTCCCTTTGGTGACGTTGTGAGTGGCTAAATTGAGGACAGGGAGGAGGGTGTGAGGAGATGGAAGCAGCAAAAGGGCTGGAATTGTGTTATTCTTGAACTGAGGTTGGGATGTGAGCGCTGACTTGACTAGAAAGTGGAAACATTGGCTTAATGCTGCAGTGCAGCACCATAAATGTGCAGAAGGAGGCTGTAGTCCTGTCCCCCAGATAGGGCCATCCTTGGCAGGATGGGGACCATAACCTGGGTGAAGGGTTGTTCCCAGTATCCCAGTTCCCTCCTGCCTGCAGCCTGGCATGGCTGGATCCATCCAGCATGGCCGGACATCACATCAGCTCCCAGCCCTCCATGGGCTGGATTTCTGGCAGGTTCACATGTTTATATTGTGCATGATGAGGAACCAATAAAAATACTAAATCCATGCAAAAGCCATATTCAGTTATGAGTATGAAATATAGATTCTTTCAGACTCCATCCCTGCTGTTTGCCAGCATGTCCCTGGGAACATAATGCCATTTGCTGTTTTGTTGGGTTGTTTTTTTTTTAAAAAGAGTCAATAGAGCCAAGATTCCTGCTCATAATCACTCCCTTTTGTTGTTTTTGGGGGTTTGGGGTTTTTTTACTGCAGAGTGCTGTATTTCCATCTATTTTAATATGCTGCTTTGTATATTCTTATGTCTAAACTCCAGCAGATCTTTCAGAGCCCACATAGTGCTGCCTCCCCTGCCAAGCACTTGGCTGTTACCTAATATATAGGCTGGTGTTCATGTACTCACGGAGGTAATTTAAAGATGAAAGTCTTCTGATAGAAGTACAAACCATTTTCCTCCTCTCATTTCTCCTTCGAGACTTTTATCCTACTTTCCCATGGAGAAAATGTGCAAATATCAGTGGGATCTTCCTTAGATTTCTGCCAAGACAGAGTCTTCCCTTCGGAGATGCAAACCGCCAGAGATAAGGGCAAATTCCTCTTTTTCAAGTGAGGATTGGAAGCTGGAAGAGCCACAAAAGCCACCACAGGCACAGCCCACCACAGAAGTGGACAGTGGACAGAGGTTTTTAAGGCTGCTGGACAAGGATAACAAGCATCTTGTCAGGGGAACATCCTGAACGTTGTTCAAATGCCAAGGATGAGAGATAAGAAACTCCTGTCCAGGATTTCTAGGGAGGCATGGAGATTGCCAGGGGAGGGTGTGGAGGCATTTGGATTGCAGGGAGGAGGCAGGTTGGGTTTGGGGGTGCTGCAGACACTGGGTGATGACACATCACACATTGTGGGTTTAACACCTCTGACATGAGGGTGATGCTGCCCAGGACTCAGCTTCGATGGTTTTAAAAGAGAACTTCATCTTTAGCTGTTGCACCTTCACTAGTTCTGTCCTGGCATCACTCCCAGGAGTCAAATGTGCTCCAGGGCATCCCTGCCTGGATCTTTTGCCTTTTCCCTGGGCTAGAGATGTCTGCTCCTGCTCCGTTACTGTTGAGATATCCTGCTCTTCCCAAAGGGGACAGGGGAGATGAAAATGCTTCTGTGCCCTTGGTGGGAGAGACACACACAAGGATCTGTGTCATTACTTGTGCCAACAAATTGACCTCCATCTAGGAGTGTGTAGCTCATCTTCTCCTTCAGGAAGAGATTCATATTAGCTCAAGGAAGCTGATGCTCATCTGCACTTGTGGACATAGCACAAGCTTCTCCAGCTCTTTGACTTATCCCTGTGTTGCCCTCTTCTGCCTTGGCACTAGAGGTGACCTACAGAAACCACAAACAGCAACAGCCTCTGGAAAAACCCTTTTCATCACAAGTGCCTGTATCTACTCCACTTCTTGAAGGATTTTCCTTAACACCAACGACATGTTTTGTCTTAATCTTTAGTTTTCATTTTTCTGAAGGAACGTGACACTTTGGTATCAAATATCCCCTTGACAGGTGTGGGAAATGAGGCAACTGATTACTCTGAAATGGTCTGGCTTTACTGCTGGCACATCTGCAGCCCATTTTGCACCTACTGGCCTGGTGCTGGCAGTGCCCCAGGAAGCAGCAGAGCAGGTAGAAGCTGGGGAGCTCAGCAGGGCACGTACAAGCCTGCACTCCTTGGGGAGATGGGCCAGCACTAGGGCTGGAAAGAGCTGAGCAGTTCTTGGGTCTGCACAGTCACTGAGCACCTTGGGAGGTGGCAGAGGAAGGGAGGTGCTGGAGCACCTTCATCAGATGTTAATGCTGGAGGAAGCAGGAAGGGTCTGGGCTGCCCTCCTGGGTCATGCAGGAGAGAGACATTCACCTGGAGATTGATCCCTCCTGCAGGGCCAAGTCTGACTTTACTGAGCAAGATCTTTCCCAGAAAACTGTCCCCAGGCTGCAATGTTGCCCACTGAGCTCAACCAAACTTCCCACCGTGCTCAAGAAACATTTTTTAATGGTCTTTACTTTCACTTGGCTCAGCTGTTTCCAGTATTAACATATCTGAAAACTGGTTTCCACTGTGGTTTTCAATCTCACACAAAAGCAGCAGGGAGGCCCCAGCCAAGTCTCCAGGGGTGGT